TCTAACTGGATCTCGGTGGCAGTTAACTTTTGTTGAATTTCTTCATCAACAATATGTGTTTCTCCGGCTCGTTCTTCATCTTCACGTGTGTATGGACTTTCGACTACAGGAGAACCGACATGTTCCTGCTGTTGTGAAACTAGCATTGGTTCGTATGGATCCTGTTCAACTGTTTCAGTATGTTCAATGTTGATTACATCCGAGATTACTGTAGATTCTGGATTATATTGATCCTCGTCTTCGTGGTCACTTTCATGTGGTGATTCCAACTGGATTACGGTGCCACTTGATTTTTGGAGAATTTCAAATTCATGTGTTGCTTGTAATTCCTCGGTTTCTTTTTTTTCTACAGATGATTCATGACTATATTCTTCGGCTGTTGCTGAACGTTCGACAATACTGCTATCAGCAGCTGATGCTTCTCGAGAATCATAATAATCGTCCTGTTCATCAGTTGGTGTAGTCTCCACAAGAGGAGATTCCATGAACTTTTGTTGAGGAGTTACTGATCCATCAAAGTGTTCTTGATCATCTTGTGCAGTGAATTCTGTTTTAATCACTTCTGCAGTTGTTCTATATTCTGGTGCATCTGGATCCGATTCATAACGTTCCTCATATTCCGCTTCATCTTTTTCTAGCTCGCTTGTTGCTGACAATTCGGCCACGAGTTGTTCAGTGACTTGATGAGTAGGAATTGAACCTATTTCAAAACTAGGACTTAATTCATGTGGATCGTGTTCCGTGCTTTGAGGAGATTCAAGGGTAATTTGATCTGAGATCAGCTTTTCTTCAGATTGATACGGTTCTTCTTCTAGGTTCATTTCGTGATCACTCTCATATGGTGATTCTCGCTGGATATCGGTGGCTGTTAATTTTTGTTGAATTTCTTCATCAAGAATATGTGTTTCACCGGGTCCTTCTTCATCTTCACGTGTGTATTGACTTTCGATTACAGGAGAGCTGACATGTTCCTGCTGTTGTGAGACTAGCATTGGTTCGTACCGATCGTGTTCAACTGTTTCACTATGTTCAGTTTTGATTGCATCCGGACTTAGTGTAGATTCTGGATTGTATTGATCGTCTTTTTCGTGGTCACTTTCATGTGGTGATTCTAAGAGGCTTTCGATGCCACTTGATTTTTGTAGAATTTCAAATTCATGTGGTGCTTGTAATTCATCCGTTTCTTCCTTTTCAGCAGATGATTCATGACTATATTCTTCGGCTGTTGGCGAACATTCTATAATACTCGTATCAGCAGCTGATGCTTGTCGAGAATCATAATAGTCGTCCTGTGCACCAGCGGATGTAGTCTCCACAAGAGTAGACTCCAAGAACTTTTGTTGCGCAGGTACTGACGCATCAAAGTGTTCTTCTTCATCTTGTGTAGTGAATTCCGTTTTGATCACTTCTGCAGTTGTTCTATATTCTGGTGCATCTTGATCAGATTCATAACGTTCCTCATATTCCTCTTCATCGCTTTCTCGTTTCCATGCTACTGCAGATTCGATAGCGACTTGTTCAATGACTTCATGAGATGGAATTGAAGCTGCGTCAAAGCTAGAACTTAATTCATGTTGATCTTGTTCCGTGAAGTGAGGAGATTCAATAGTAATTTGATCCGAGTTCAGCTTTTGTTCAGATTGATACGGTTCTTCTTCTTCGTCTTCTTCGTGATCACTGTCATGTGGTGATTCTAAGTGGATCTCAGTAGTAGTTAATTTTTGTTGAATTTCTTCATCAAGAATATGTGTTTCACCGGGTCCTTCTTCATCGTCACGTGTGTAGTGACTTTCGATTACAGGAGAGCCGACATGTTGCTGCTGTTGTGAGACTAGCACTGGTTCGTACCGATCGTGTTCAACTGTTTCAGTATGTTCAATTTTGATTGCATCCGCACTTAGTGTAGATTCTGGATTGTATTGTTCGTCTTTTTCGTGGTCACTTTCATGTGGTGATTCCAACTGGATTTCGGTGCCTCTTGGTGTTTGTAGCATTTCAAATTCATGTGCTACTTGTAATTCATCCGTTTCTTCCTTTTCAACAGATGATTGACGACTATATTCTTCGGCTGTTGCTGAACGTTCGACAATACTCCTATCAGCAGCTGATGCTTCTCGAGAATCATAATAATCGTCCTGTTCATCAGTTGGTGTAGTCTCCACAAGCGGAGATTCCAAGAACGTTTGTTGAGGAGTTACTGATGCATCAAAGTGTTCTTCTTCATCTTGTGTAGTGAATTCCGTTTTAATCACTTCTGCAGTTGTTCTATATTCTGGTGCATCTTGATCAGATTCATAACTTTCCTCATATTCCTCTTCATCGCTTTCTCGTTTCCTTGCTACTACAGATTCAACCGAAACTTGTTCAGTGTTTAATCTTTGTTCGGTGACTTGATGAGTAGAAATTGAAGCTGCGTCTAAGCTAGAACTTAATTCATGTTGATCTTGTTCCGTGATATGAGAAGATTCAAGAGTAATTTGATCTGAGCTCAGCATCTGTTCTGATTGAGATGGTGCTTCTTCTTGATCTTCTTCGTGATCAGTCTCATGTGGTGATTCTAAGTGGATTTCGGTAGCAATTAATTTTTGTTGAATATCTTCATCAGCAGTATGTGTTTCACCGGGTTCTTCTTCATCTTCTGGTGTGTATGGACTTTCGATTACAGGAGAGCCGACATGTTCCTGCGGTTGTGAAACTAGCATTGGTTCGTACGGATCCTGTTCAACTGTTTCAGTATGTTCAATTTTGATTGCATCCGAACTTAGTGTAGATTCTGGATTATATTGATCCTCTTTTTCGTGATCACTTTCATGTGGTGATTCCAACTGGATTTCGGTGGCATTGGATTTTTGTAGAATTTCAAATTCATGTGCTACTTGTAATTCATCCGTTTCTTTTTTTTCAACAGATGATTGATGACTATATTCTTCGGCTGTTGCTGAACGTTCGACAATACTGCTATCTGCAGCTGATGCTTCTCGAGAATCATAATAATCGTCCTGTTCATCAGTTGGTGTAGTCTTCACAAGCGGAGATTCCAAGAACGTTTGCTGAGGAATTACTGATGCATCAAAGTGTTCGTCTTCATCTTGTGTAGTGAATTCCGTTTTGATTACTTCCGCAGTTGTTCTATATTCTGGTGCATCTTGATCAGATTCATAACTTTCCTCATATTCCTCTTCATCGCTTTCTCGTTTCCTTGCTACTACAGATTCAACCGAAACTTGTTCAGTCACTTGATGAGATGGAATGGAACCTGCTTGAAAACTGTAACTTAATTCATGTGGATCGTTTTCCGTGATGTGCGGAGATTCAATAGTAATTTGATCTGAGATGAGCTTTTCTTCAGATTGATACGGTTCTTCTTCTTCGTCGTCTTCGTGATCACTCTCATGTGGTGATTCTAAGTGGATCTCGGTTGCAGTTAGCTTTTGTTGAATTTTTTCATCAAGAATATGTGTTTCACCGGGTCCTTCTTCGCCTTCTTGTTTGTATGTACTTTCGATTACAGGAGACGCAGCATGTTCCTGCTGTTGTGAAACTAGCATTGGTTCATGCCGATCGTGTTCAGATGTTGTAATATGTTCAATGTTGATCACGTTCGAGCTTAGTAAAAATTCTGGATGATATTGTTCAGTTGCATATTTGTGTTCATATTCATCATGTTCTGGTAGATGTTTTGGGCGTGCACTGAGCGTAGAATATTCAGTATTTTCTTTGTCGGAGCTTAGTTCTGGTTGTTGTGTTTCATCGCTTGGAGTTTGTTGTGAACTTAATGACTGCTCATATTGATTGAAGTGATCTTCTTCTTCTTGGGCGTCGTCTTTGAATTGCGTTGAATCTGGTATAAGTTCTTCCCAATGCAAAACCTCTTCTAGTTGATCATTGTATTCTGTTTTCGGTTTGTCTTCGACCTGGTTTTCATTTTGGAGTGTTATTGTTTCTGGATGATACTGTAGTTGAACTGGTTCTTCTATGTGATGTGCATCAGATGAATCGACGATAATGTTTTGTGATTCTAATGCGTGTTCTTTTTCATGGAGACTGCTTACTAATTCTTTATATAAAGCTTGTGCTTCGTTGTCTGTTGCAATTGTTATTGTGGTAGGTTCTATAATCTTTTCGGTACTCCATGTTCGTTCTATTTGATAGGGTTCATTTTCGTCTCTTTGTTCTAAGTCTTCTGGTGGTTTTTTAAGAATTAGCTGATCTTGATACTCATCTGTTTGTTTACTAGCTTCATCATGTTGAAAGTCATCAGTAACAAATTGTTTCTCAGGTATTTGTGAAGTTTCTTTACTAGAATCAATGCCTGGTCGAACTTGTTCTTCAGCTGTTTGTTGCGTTGGATCTGATGAATATCTTAAATTTTCAGTTTCTTGGCCAACAACATTTGTACTTTTCTCAAGTTCATCTGTTTTAACTGTTTCTTCACTTGCTGATTCTTCAATGACCATTGATTCATCCTG